ATTCCTAACATGATGTATGAGAGCTAAAAATATACAAAAAAATTCAAATACAGTAGTCTTTGTGAACACCATCCTATAAATCTATAAAAATTATTTCTTCAAAAAACCAATAGCCAATAAGAAGCTAAAATGACTGTACCTGAAATAATAAGGGACTGCCTTATTTTGGCTGTCTGGTCCTTCTGAACACCTGCAAGATATTACTATACAAACTTGGGATGTTTTTTGTTTTGTTTTTTTCACACAGTCTCGCTCTGTCACCCACACTGGAGTGCAGTGGCGTGATCAGAGCTCACTACACCCTTGAACTCCAGGGCTCAAGTGATCCTCCAACCTCAGCCTCCCCTGTAGCTAGAACTACAGAAAACATGGTACCATGTCCCGCTAATTTTTTGTTTACGTAGAGATGCGGGTCTCATTACGTTGCCCAGACGGTCTCAAACTCCTGACCTCAAATGATCCTCCCACCTCAGCCTCCCAAAGTGCTTGGATTACAGGTTTGAGCCACCATGCCCAGCCCTCAGGATGTTTTAACAATCAAGCGACCACTCACAAATTTAATTATCACTTATACTTAAAGAATGCTCTAGATTTTAGAAACAACCCAGCCAGATGCAATGGTGCTTGCCTACAGTCCCAGCTACTTGAGAGGCTGAGGAAGACGGGTTGCTTGAGCCCAGGAGTTTGAGGCTACAGTGAGCTACAATTGCACCACTGCACTCCAACCTGGGTGAAAGAGTGAGATTTAATCTTTTAAACAACAAACCCAAGTCATTTGATAAAATTTAACACATTCCTGAAAGTAGTCTGCATTCAAAGCATTTCTAGTCATCTGCATATTGGCCAACTGGCTACTTTAGATTGTTTAGACAAGTACCACCCAGTATGGTAGCCACTAACCACATGTGGCTATTAATCACTTGAAATGTACCTTTTTAAAATTTATTTTTTCATTACAAAATATATATCCATGTAGAAATATACCAAATCTAAATTGAGATGAGTTGTAAGCATACAAACCAGAGAAAAAGAATGCAAAACATCTCAACAATTTTTTTTTTTCATACAGACATGGTCTCACTATGTTGCCCAGGCTGGTCTCAAACTCTTAAGTCCAAGCAATCCTCCCACTTTGGCCTGACAAAGTGCTGAGATTAGAGGTGTGAGCCACTGAGGCTGCCCTCAACAATTTTTAAGGCTTGATGATACAATAAAATAACATTTTAGATATGAGTTAAAATATAATATTAAAATTTGCTTTTTAAAATGTGGCTATTTGGCAGGGCTTGGTGGCTCACACCTGTAATCCCAGCAATTTCGGAGGTCAAGGTGGGCAGATCACCTGAGTAAGGCATTCAAGACCAGCCTGACCAACATGGTAAAACCCTGTCTCTACTAAAAAAAAAAACAAAAATTAGCTGGGCATGGTTGCAGACGCCTGTAATCCCAGCTACCTGGGAGGCGGAGGCAGGAGTATCGCTTGAAACCGGGAGGCTGTAAGCCAAGATTGTGCCACTGAACTCCAGCTGGGTAACAAGAGCGAAACTCCAATAAAAAAAAAAAAAAAAAAAAAAAGATGGCTATTAAAAGTAATATTTGTGGCTCACATTATTTCACTTGGATGGCACTGGTTAAACTCAATGATAGACTTCTAAACCTGTGCACATAGAGCTAATACATGAATGTGTTCAAGCTGTACTTAGAATCATATTCATTTTCTCAATTTAACACTATTCAACATCTTAAATATGAAAACATTTTTATAGGAAAGTGTCAAAATGCAGAATCTAAAGTAAAATTGTTTAGTGGGGCTGGGTACAGTGGCTCATACCTGTAATCCCAGCACCTTTGGGAGGCTGAGGTGGGTGGATCACCTGAGGTCAGGAGTTGGAGAGCAGCCTGACCAACAGGATGAAACTCTGTCTCTACTAAAAACACTAAATTGGCTGGGCATGGTGGTGCGCACCTGTAATCCCTGCTACTTGGGAGACTGAGGCAAGAGAATCGCTTGAACCTGGGAGGCAGAGCTTCAGTGATCCAAGATTGCACCACTGCACTCCAAGCTGAGCAACAGGAGCGAAACTCCATCTCAAAAAAAAAAAAAAAAAAAAAAAAAAAAAAAAAAGGGAGGGTGGGCACAGTGGCTCACACCTGTGATCTCAATAGTTTGGGAAGCCGAGGTAAGCGGATCACCTGAGGTCAGCAGTTCAAGATCAGCCAGGCAAACATGGTGAAACTCTGTTTCTACCAAAAATACAAAAAAATTAGCTGAGTGTGCTGGTAGGCACCTGTAATCCCAGCTACTCCGGAGGCTGAGGCAGAAGAATTGCTTAAGCCTGGGAGGCAGAGGTTGCAGTGAGCCAAGATCAGACCATTGCACTCCAGCCTGGGCAAAAAGAATGAAATTCCATCTCAAAAAAAAAAGTAATCGTTAGTGGAGCACCAACAAATACTTGGATACCACTATGCGAAGGGCGTTCAATCCACAGAATAACATGTTCTGCCACACTTCCACAGTGGAAGAGTCACATATTCTATATATAGCTAATGTGGACTGTGCTCCTACAAAGTGCCTGGCACTGTGTGAAGTGCTTTACTCCTGCTAACTCATAAAATCTTCACAATTATCCTATGTGGTAGATACCATTATTAACACTTCTAAAGAACCTGAAACCAAGAGAGGTTAAGTAATTTGCCAAAGTTGCACAGGTAGTACTGTGGAACCAGGATTTCAACCCAGCAGACTTGATCCAAAATCATCACATATCTTCCCAAGTAAAAGGAGGACAAAAAGATTATACCATTATCTTAGAGGACTGAGTTTTAGATGGGGGCATGTACCCTTTACAAAAAGACTGGAATAGACAAAGTTAATGTTTTGCTTCCAATTCTCTCCATCCACCACTGTTCCTAATGACAGGTTAAAGTTGACCACATGGCTGGGCATGGTGGCTCACGCTTGTAATCCCAGCACTTTAGTAGGCTGAGGCGGTGGACTGCTTGAGATCAGCAGTTCAAGACCAGCCTAACCAACATGGGGAAACCCAGTCTCTACTAAAAATACATAAATTAGACAGGCACGGTGGTGGGCACCTTTAATCTCAGCTACTCAGGAGGCTGAAGCAGGAGAATTGCTTGAACCCGAGGCGGAGGCTGCAGTGAGCTGAGATCACGGCACTGCACTCCAGCCTGGGTGACAGAGTGAAACTCTGTCTCAAAATAAAGTTGACCACATGAATTAAATCCTCAACCTTACTATACGTTTGTTCTATGCTCCCTTTTCCAGAAAGGCCTTATCCCACCCCTCTGACCCAATTCATATTAGTCCTTCAGATTTCATCATTTTAGATATCATCTCTATGTAAGCCTACTCAGACTCCTCACGATTTAGGCTAGCCAATCCTCCTCCCTATGGTTACTACTGTAGCACCTTCCACACTGTTATGATTGACCTCACTGGAATGCTCCTCAAGGGGTCTGTTGTGTTCACCATTTATTCCCAGTGCCTAAGAACAGTGCCCAGCATTAGGTGCTCAGTAAATATTTGCTGACCCATCTGATCACCTAACCCCACCCAGCTACAGCTAAAAGTGGAGTGTTAAAAGCAAACTTAGTGCTAGGGAAGTGCTAGCGCTAAGTGCTAGTGTTCTCTAACCCAGAAGTTAGAGAACAAGTTCTAAGTTTCATGAAATTTGTGAAAGACCAAGACAACAGTAAGATACTCTGGAAATCAGAACTGTAATTTCCACCCAAAAAGAGTGAGTGAAATAAAAATCTATTTTTAAAAAATCACTTGTCCAATTTAATTTCAGTATAATTTCTTTCGTGAGAATGAAGCAGCTATTGGTCACACACAAAAAAATCCAAACCAAATTATTTCAGTAACGCTACAAATTGTTTCAAATCAGCTTAATTTTAACAATTCCCAGAGTTCAAAGACAACTGCAGTTGCTTTTTAAAATCGTCTCAACAGAAAACGACATTTAAAAATGGGTTAAACTACACCGCCACAATGCTGAGTGCTGGGCTCCAAGTGACAGAGGCAGCCATGTGTCTTCAAGAAATTTATTGGGGAGCGGATGAGTTTCACAATTAATTTAGCACAATTAGCATCAGCGCCACTAAATTTTCTAACCAGATTCAAAAGGGACTTTCCTAGAGCCTTCCCTTTTCCTTTCCTAGACGGGAAATTCTATTTAAAAGGTCACTCTTTAGCTCTTACTTCCACACTAAGTAATTCTGAAACGGTGAAAGTACATTAGAAGTCCTTAGGGCTATGACTGGCAAAATAATTTCTTGTAAATACTACAGTCGAAACAGAAGAGAGAGCTTGACTTCATTCTGTTGGGTTTGAGGACAGAAATTAATCATCTCCCCCAGATTACTGTTTCTGTTGATGTCTCGAAAAGCACTGAGGCAAATATGCCAGAGTCCCACCCCAAGCGCGAAGAGCCTCCGATTGTTTGACACATCAATGGATTAGTCAATGAGGGCAACTCACTTTTCCCTTCTAATGTGCCTTAATTATTCTTCACACAAACCCTCAAGTTTACTCTAAGTTATGACCATATGGAATCTTCTCTTTGCCCCAGAGTATAAATTATAAATTCAGGCCTTTCCCGAATAGCTAGTACTGTTTCAATCGCAACCACTGAAATAAATACTTTAAATATACCACACATCTAATAATTCCAAGCAAATGTGGAAAAAGACAGTCCAGTCGCCTGAAGAGATAAGGTTCTGGAACGTGATTAAATGATGCATATTTTGTAACCGAAGGCACTGAGCATAGTGGGAGACTCGAAAGCAAAAGACCGGATGGAAAGCATGGAAGACCCCGCCCCAGTAAGCTCGATGCCGATTCAAATCGTAACTTGGGTCTGTCGTTTGGAATCGGAATCACTGAAACAAAGGCGTATATTACGGGAAGCAAGATGTCTGGAGTAAAATAAACGGTTTGCAGCTACCGAGACCGTACACCGTCCTCCCACAGGTCTTACCTATGGTGGAAATAAAGGTGGTATTGAAGGCATCATCCGAAAAACGAAAAAGGACGCAGGTCTTCCCCACTCCCGAGTCCCCGATCAGGAGCAGCTTGAAAAGCAGGTCGTACGTCTTCTTCGCCATTGGGAGGAGCGGCTCGGGCTCTCGCCGCCGGCGGCCCCAAGGGATCGGTCCCTCTCACTACGGCCAACTCCTCACTCGGGCGTTCTCAGGCCGGAGGACGGACAAGCGTGGGAAAAAAGAAGGCTCGAGAGGGTGCGGGCGACCTACGAACAGCTTCGAGGAAGCCCCGACAGTGGCGGCGTCCAGTGCCTCCGAGGGCGGCGACCGCAGCTCCGCAGCCTCTCCCAGCCGCTCCGCCCGGTTCCGGGGAGTCGGTCGGGACAAAATGGCCTCCCCTCCCCCCTCAGGGCTTCTCGGCCGGGACGCTCCCACGGACGAGCAAGCCTGCTCTGCCGTCGAGGAGGCGCGGCGGGCGTGTGTACAGTGTCTCCCCCGAGCAGAAACTCTGCGCTAGCACGCCGCGAGGACTGCGAAGAAGGACCCCCAAGACGACGAGCTCAGCTACATAGCCCCAGGAAGCCGAGCCACCCCGGCCAGAGCCACCTTTCCCCCGTGCCCTCTCACGCCAGCGTGCGCGCTGCCTGAGACGCACGCAAGGACGTACGCCCGCCCTTCCCTCGCGCCCTCGCCTTGCGGTCCGCCTCTGCGCACGCGCACAAGAGGGCGCGGGGCGCGCCTGGGTGGAGAGTGGAGCGCTCCCTCCGGCCTCCAAGCCTCAGTTTGAAGCTGAACCCAGAGGGGAGAAGGGAGGGGCGAGAGAGGGTAAGGCCCCGGGCGCGCTCCCTGTGGCCGCCTGATAGGGTGCGCGGTGTTACGAGCACGCCCCTCGGGAGTCGCTGCCTAGCCACTACGCAGGCGCAGCGCCCCCGGGGACACGCTTTCCGCACCGCGCACCGCCTTCCGTTCTCGGGGTTGCCCACTGGCCCGCGCTGCGGTTTCTCTGCACGGCGTTAGTCGGGTGTGTTGAGCCGGAGGTCTGGGCGCAGCGACGGGCTTGGGTGGCCATGTGTTCCCGCGTAGGTGGAGCTCGTAAACGCGAGAAAAAGTCGTGCCCTGGGTCATTTAATAGCTTCATTGCTAGAACGAGCCTCCTCACGTCGTGCCACCCGCTCCCCTCCCCACGCCAGGGCCAACCCTGACGGGGAAACTTGAGCGCTCCATCCCGGTTCACTTCTAGAGCAAGAGTTTGAGATGGAAAACCTGGCCATGCTGCTCGGGTTGGGATGATGTAATCCTCACAGCCTCTTCCTGGGCGAGGAGAGGAAGGCTGAGGAACACCTGGGCGCAGGAACAACAACCCCACGAAGTGGAAGGTTATGTGCGATGCTTGGAGAACCTGCTCTACGCCTCTGCCGGCCTTTAGGAATCCTGGAGAACCCGAGAACTCTCCGCAGAGGAGGTGTAGCCTCTACCTGCCACCAGAGTCGTACTACTGGGTTGAAAATTGAAAGGTGGGCTGCGCGAGGTGGCTCTTGCCTGTAATCCCAGCACTTTGGGAGGCCGAGGCGGGTGGATCACGAGTTCAGGAGATCGAGACCATCCTGGCTAACACGGTGAAACCCCATATCTACTGAAAAAAACAAAAAATTAGCCGAGCGTGGTGGCACGCGCCTGTAGTCCCAGTTGCTCTGGAGGCTGAGGCAGGAGAATCGCATGAACCTGGGAGGCAGAGGTTGCAGTGAGCCAGGATCTTGCCACTGCACTCCAGCCTGGCGACAGAGCGAGACTTCGTCTCATTAAAAAAAAAAAAAATTGAAAGGTGGCCAGGCCTACCCCAATCGGACACAGCCTCCATCCTCACATTCTCTCTTCATTTGTTTTACCCACTTCTGACCTCTCTCCCCATGAGGCCTATTTACACCGCTCTTTTTCTCTTCTTCCCTTCTGTAGTTACAATATATATGCTGCTGACCTTCCATCCTCAGGGTCATCCATCCCTTAAGCACGTCTAGGTGTGCTGGCACAGGAGTTGAACCTGGTGAGCTGGCTCAGCCTGATAAAGTGGAAAACGCTGAGATGTGGAAAGTAAGAAACAGGGATAGAAAAGTAAAACCTACATTTTTACACACACCTCCCCACAATCACCAAGTCACCAAAATGTGTATTTGATGTGTAATTAAAGTTAGACTTTCAGGCAATTCCGTCTTACATTTCTGTCTTACATTTCAGTCTTACATGTTTCCTTTCTTCCCAACCACCCCCAAAGCAACCTTGCCAAAGATACTTGTCTTCACTAATAAATTTCTATTCAGTCATTTTCTCTAATTGCTCCTAGTCATGTCACTTAAACCTTTTTTTTTTTTTGAGACAGGGTTTCACTGTGTCACCCAGGCTGGAGTACAATGGCAGATCTCAGCTCACTGCAACCTGCACCTCCCAGGTTCAAGTTATTCTTCCTCAGCCTCCTGTGTCGCTGGGATTACAGGCGTGTGCCAACACACCTAATTTTTGATTTTTTAGTAGACGTGGGGTTTCACCACGTTGGCCAGGCTAGTCTCAAACTCCTGACCTCAGCTGATGCGCCCGCCTCAGCCTCCCAAAGTGCTGGGATTACAGGAGTGAGCCACTGCGCCGGGCCTCACTTAAACCTTCTTGTCCTCTATGAATCATTCCGACTTCAGTTGGGAATGCCTTATGATAATAATTCTAAAATAGACTAGCTATGCAAATCACAAAGTGAGCAGCACAGGTGTGTTAGTGCAGCACAGGTGTGTTATCAATTCAGAGTCAGAAGGAAAATCTTTTTACCTTGATTATTCCTTTCAAAATAAGTTAGATTAACTCAAGCCCCAACGTTATAAAGTATCTTAAAAGTCTTGCTGGGTGCGGTGGCTCATGCCTGTAATCCCAGCACTTTGGGAGGCTGAGGCAGGCGGATCATGAGGTCAGGAGTTCGAGACCAGCCTGGTCAACATGGTGAAACCCCATCTCTACTAAAAATACAAAAATTAGCTGGGCATGGTGTTGTGTGTCTGTAATCCCAGCTACTTGGAGGCTGAGGCAGGAGAATAGCTTGAACCTGGGAGGCGGAGGTTGCAGTGAGCTGAGACTGTACCATTACACTCCAGCCCGTGCACCAAAATGAGACTCAGTCTCAAAAAAAAAAAAAAAAAAAATCTTAAATGTTTTTAAGCTGTGTACAGTGACTGAACCTGTAGTCCCAGCTATTCAGGAGGCTGAAGTGGGAGGACTGCTTGAACCCGGGAGTTTGACACCAGCCTGGGTAATAGAGTGGACTCCATCTGTGAAAAAATGAAGTGTTAAAGGTCTTGTTTGTTTGTTTTGAGACAGGGTCTTCTTGCTTGTTGCACAGGCTGGAGTGCAGAGGCCTCAATGCAACCTCAACCTCCTGGCCTCAAGCGATCCACCTTGGCTTCCCAAGGTGCTGGGATTACAGGCATGAGCCAACGCACCCAGCCAAGATTTTTTTCATGTAGAAAGCCTAATTCGGTCTGGGCATGGTAGATCATGCCTGTAATCCCAGCAGTTTGGGAGGCCGAGTCGGACAGATCACAAAGTCAAGAGATGGAGACCATCCTGGCCAACATGGTAAAACGCTGTCTCTACTAAAAATATGAAAATTAGCTGGGTGTGGTGGCGTGCACCTGTAGTCCCAGCTACATGGGAGACTGTGGCAGGAGAATCACTTGAACCTGGGAGGTTGCAGTGAGCCAAGATCGCACCACTGCACTCCAACCTGGCAACAAGAGCAAAACTCCATCTCAGAAAAAATTAAAAATAAGCCTAATTTGGAGAGTAATACCACTACATAAATTTTGGGGATAATGGACAGTTGAAAAATTTGAAAAACCCAACACAAATGATAAATATTTGAGGTGATGGATAGCCCCATTACCCTGATTTGATCATTACTCACTGTATGCATGTATCAAATATCACACGTACTTCCATAAATATGTACAAATATATATCAGTAGAAAATTTTTTGACTTTATTTTTTATCCTGTAACCAACAATTTTATCACTTAGAAACTTTTCCCCATGAACTCATATTCTGAAACTTTAGGAAGTAATTACATTTATTAACAAATTATTAATCATAGAATTTTTTTTTTTTTTTTTTTTTTNAAAAAAAAAAAAAAAAAGGCAGATTTATATGTTTATACTATTAATTAAGGTATTATCTCTCTATTTTTCTAGAAAAAGCACAGCTGACCAGTTCATGGTTCTAGTCTTCAACTTAAGCGTTTAAGGTCTGCCTCTACCTTATAAAAAAATGCCTGCCTCCAAAGATATTGAGGCAGGATCATCTTTACCACTGTTCCCACCCATGTTCAGTCTCTGTACCTGATTTCTTTTCTTTTTTTTTTTTTTTTTTTTTTACATTAAGTCTGACTCTCTCACCCAGGCTGGAGTGCAGTGGCACAATCTAGGCTCATGGCAACTTTTGCCTCCTGGGTTCAAGTGAATCTCCTTCCTCAGACTTCCAAGTAGCTGGGATTACAGGCACGACCATCATGCCCACCTAATTTTTGTATTTTTAGTAGAGACAGCGTTTAACCATGTTGGCAAGGCTGGTCTTGAACTCCTGACCTCAAGTGATCCGCCCTCCTCAGCCTCCCAAAGTGCTGGAATTACAGGCATGAGCCACTGCGCCCGGACCCTGGACTACATTCCTTATAAAGCAATTTTGAAAAAGCATAAGCCCTAAACTAGGACATGAGCCACCAGGCCTGACCAGGATGGTCTCAAATTCCTGACCTCAGGTGATCCACCCTCAGCCTCCCAAAGTGCTGGGATTATAGGCATGAGCCACTGCGCCCAGCCAGGGTCATACCTTTTTTTTCTTTTTTTTTGTGGTAGGGGCTCTGTCACCCAGGCTGCAGTGTAGTGGAGCAATCACAGCTCACAGCAGCCTCAATCTCTCGGGCTCAAGCAGTTCTCCCACTTTGGCCTCCCCAGCATCTGAGTCTACAGATGTGCACCATTACACCTGGCTAATTTTTATATTTTTTGTAGAGACAGGGATTTGCCATGTTGCCCAGGCTGGTCTTGAACTCTTGGGCTCAAACAATCCATGCATTTTGGCCTCCCAAAGTGCTGGAATTACAGGCGTGAGCCACTGTGCCCAGGCATAATTCGACCCCTGCACGTAACCCACTGATGAGCGGTCTGAGGCTCAGAGAAATTAGGGCCTTTCCAGAGGCCATAATTTGACCCCTGCATGCAACCTACTGATGAGGAGTCTGAGGCTCAGAGAGGTCAGAGCCTTCCCAGAGGTCACACTGTTAATGCAGAACTTAGACTATGTGGGTAAGGGAAAAGAGAAGAAAACCTCCACAAGACATCATATTATGTCAAGGTGAGAATTGGGAGGATTGAGAGGCTCAGCCAGTACTTAGCATTTGGATTCTCTAAAGTTAATTAAAGGTTTTGCTGGAGTGAGTCCTAAACATCAAGCCGTATCTGCCAGTGAAGCAAGCAGAAGTGATCAAGGCATGGAAGATCTCTGACTCTAGAAAAAAGAATAAAATGGGGATCTACATAGGCCTAAAGGATAAACTTGGAGTTATGAAGAAATCTTTCATAAAAGTGGAAATAGTGAAAAAAAATGCCAATCTAGTTCT